AGAAAGATGTGGCTTTCAACAGGTGCCCAGAATTCACTAAGTGGCCCTCCAGCTGAACTAATTGCCCAAACCCGAGTTAAATATTCCTTCTCAAGTATTTGAGATAATCTGTCACTTCAAGGGATACAGATGACTTCAGTCCATTTTAAAACACAGTTTAAAAAATGTTTTATGTTATTGCACCTTCTCCAAATCCAAATCTATGTTCACGTTTCTTCCTATTTAAAAAAAAAATTGTTAGGTTAGAACTGTGTGAAACACCAAAACAAACAGGAAACAAAGACAATAAAGAAGAAAAGGGAAAGTGGTTTCACACTAAATGTAGTTTAATACCCAAAATAAACTCAAAAGAGACTTCCCCCTTTCTAATTCCTTTTTTTAAAATCGAATATTAGAAGTTACTTTTAACAATGGCCTTGGTTCAGAAAAGTATCTGTGTTCAAGAAGGACATTTTGAGCACATATTTAAAATGTTGCATTTTGATCCTTTTGAAGTTGATAGGAAAACTGGGGAAAAAAAGGGTAAAGACCAAATTCAGATCCACTGTAAGTGGGTGAAAATCCATTAATTGCAGTGTATTTGTATCATCTGAATTTTCATATTCAGCAGTTATTACGAACAATAAGTATCTAGGACTTTCGACACAGCAAACCAGGTATCAGCTTTCTTTTGATACATGGTTACAATCTCGTCACTGAAAATAAAATAAAAGCAAACAAAATCCAACCACCACTGTGTTAAATGGGATGGGATTGTTTTATTCCTGCAGGAAATTAGTCAATAGTATCACATATTAAAGAAACAAAACATGTTAGTCGTTCTTTTTTGTCTCCTCTCAACTACATTATGTCTAATCTATATCTTTCAAGCTGCGTACCCTTCGATAAGGGACAACTGGTATCTTCTGTTTTGCATATTACAGGCCCTTAACAAGCAGCAGTGGAATATGATTTAAGTTATTAATCTAATTCTTTAAAACAACTGAGGTCTGCTTATTGTATTTTGGTCTATCATAAGCATTTCTAAATTCAACATTATGAGTGAATATAGGTGCTGACATGACAAGGAGAATGCTTCTGAGTGCATCTGCGTCTCTGTTTGAAGGAATTCTATTGAAAAGGATTTTAAAGGATTGGAAAGTATATATTTACCCCTGTAGTCATTCACTATTTGTTCATTTTAGTGAATAAATTACTACATGCTTGAAGAAATGTCTACCAAGGTTCCTGGCATATTACTAAACATCTAGTTGCAAGTGATTGTCAAGAATGGCTGTTTTTGAATTGATGTTTGTAAGTGAATGCCTTTATTTATTTATTTATTTATCTATGTATTTATTTTTAAATTTTCCCCTTGAAGTAACTGATACAAGCCAGGCTACCAGAGCCACCACAGGCTGCTTTCAAGAATTAATGAGGAAATAAATATTGATTCATTTCTTTTTTTGCAGGTTGCCCTTGTGCTCCTTTTCAAATCAAATGTCATATTGACTCAAACCCAACATTGGAAGCATGCACCGAGCTGCAGCACATCAGTCCTGTACAATGTATCCATCAAACTGGAAGGAAACCCAAAACCAAACCACCACTGGCCAAAACTCATCCTCTGCAAAAGCCCCAAGGCAAGTGTTTCTGCTGTTCCAAAAGCCATGTCTGTTTTGTAATACTGGAAGTGTACTGTTCAAAAAATTGTCTTAATGTATAAGCTATTAAAACTTTGAGCTGACCTCTCACATGAAAGCATGTAAGTTCAGTTAGCATTGTTTCATTATTTTCAATTTTCCCAATATCCCATTAGCAAATCTTAAGGGAAACTTTCATTTAGAAATGACAGTTTAATTAATTTAACCTTACCCCCTACTTTCTTATATATATTTCAATGTATTTACCATAAGTAGCAGTAAAGATTTAGACCTAGTTTAAATTCATGATTAGTTTTTACAAGACCAGTTTAACTCTCAACCCTGGAGCTTCTTTCTTTTAAATGAGGAATAATTACATGACACAACAAAGAGAAATACCCAAACATGACACACAATTTTTTTAAGAAACTCTAATCATACTGAAGTGCCAAAACATACTAATCTTGGTTGTAGTTATTGTGCAACCTGATCTAAATTAAGAGGAAGCACAATGAAATAAATGCTGAGATCTGAGTACGACCCCTCACCCAATTTGCAATCCATCTGACTGTGTAGGCATCAATGCCAGTCGCCTAGCTTTTTAATGAGAATGGGGTGAGAGACAGTGTCAAAGGCCTTCCTGAAGTCCAGAAAGACTACATTCACCATGACACCTGCGTCCAATGATTTTGTGACCTGATCATAGAAGGCAATTATGTTGGTGTGACAGGACCTGCCCCTAATGAAACCATGCTGGCTGCCTTGAGCATCATCCCTGCTGCTGGCCCATCACAGATGTGCTCCTTGATAATCTTTTCAAAGAGCTTCCCCAGGATCAAAGTAAGACTAACGGGCCTGTAGTGCCCAGGTCCTCCCTCCTCCCTTTTTTGAAGATGGGGACCACATTGGCCTTCTTCCAGTTGTCCAGCACCTAGCCAGAGCACCACGAGAGCTTGTAAAGCTGTGCCAGGGGCCCCGCAATAACCCCTGCCAATTCCCTCAACACCCTGGGGTGGAGAGCATCTGGACCTGCTGATTTGAACATATCCAGCCCCTCCAGAAGCTCTCTAACCCGGTCCTCCCCGACCTTAAGCCTGGTGGTGTTTCTCCTGAGTCCATCTGGCATCCTGCTCGGGGAGTCCCGGTCCCTGCACAGGAAAATGGAGGTGAAGAATTTGTTAAAGAGGTCTGCTTTCTCCTTTGGTGCAACCACCAGATTGCCAAGCATATCCTGCAGGGGCCCCCGATGCCTTCTTCATTCTCCCTATATATTTAAAAAAGGACTTTTTATTATCTTTGGTCCTTTACGCTAGCTGTAGCTCAGTATCTGCCTTAGCTTTTCTAACAGCCCCCCCTACAGACCCGAGCGGTGGAGGTATACTCCTCTTTGGTGATAGTCCCTCCCTTCCACCAGGTGTACACCTCTTTTTTGGCAATCAGGCATTCACGAATGCCCTTGGTGAGCCAGGGGGGCTTTTGGGCACTCTTGTCCCCCTTGCTTTTTGTTGGGATTGTCACCCCTTGGGCTCTGAGTATCGTCTTCTTAAGGAACGACCACTCATCTTGGGCACTGAGTTCCCCTACTCTCGAGGACCCCAGTGCCTCTCCCACTAATCTCAACTCGTTGAAGTTGGCCCTCTTAAAGTCTAGGGCTACTGCCTTGCTGCAGGCCCTTGGCACCCTGCACTGGATGGTGAATTCCAGTAAAATGATGATCGCTATCACTGAGGTGGTCGAGGACCTGGAACCCTCTTACCAGGTTGTCGCCTGTGGCCAGGACTGGGTCCAGGTCCAGCAGGGCATCCCCCCTGGTAGGACTGTGCACCTCCTAGATTAAGTGGAGGTCCTTTATCTCGGCCAGGAACCTCCATGAGCGGTCCGACCTGGCTGACTGCTCCTCCCAGCAGATGTCCAGGTAATTTAGATCACCCATGACAACTACATCCCTTGTCCTTAAATGCCTCTGCAAGCTGACCTGAGAATTCGTGGTCCAGCTCTTCCTGTTGGTTGGGAGGTCTGTAGTAGACCCCAACCGTTAGGTCCCTTTCCCCACGACACCCCTGTATCCTGACCCAGAGCACTTCAGCCTGCCCCTCCTCAGACCCCATCCTGCTGGTGGAGGATGTGTATTGCTCTTTGACGCAGAACGCCACACCCCCACCTTTCCTTCCTGTTCTATCTCGCCTGTAAAGCCTATAACCTCTAACGTTAACCGCCCAGTCGTGGGATGAATCCCACCAGGTTTCTGTGAGCCCTACTATGTCTGGGTTTGCACAGGCTATTCAGAGGGCGAGTTCCCCCTGCTTATTCCCCATACTACAAGCATTTGTATAGAGGCATTTAAGGCCTTGGATTGCTGCGTGTGCCACCCCCCAATTACCAAGACTATCTGGACCCCTTTTACGTACCTGGGTACTCCTTGCGTATGTCACCCGTCTTGGTCGGGAGGTGTCCTTAAATCTTCCTGCGGCCCCATCCCCCGGCGAAGCTAGTTTAAAGCTCGCCGCACAAGATCAGCCAACCTGAAAGAGAAGACACGCTTGCCTTTAGGAGAGAGGTGTAGCCCATCCTGCCCCAGCAAGTCCCCTGCATGAAAGCATGGGTCATTATCCAGGAACCCGAGCCCTGCCTGGCGGCGCGAACTCCATAACCACCAGTTTACCTCACCAATGCAGGCTTCCCTGTCGCCGTCCATGCCTACTCACTGGGAGAATAGAGGAGAATACCACCTGTGCCCCCGTCTCCTTAAGCTTGGCCCCCAGCACCTCAAAGTCCTTCATGATTTCTATGAAATCTATAGTAAAGTGCTTGGTTTGAGGTTAAATTGTAATCTCCTGAAATGCAAAACTACTGCACATAAATCTACCCCTGTAACAGAATGGGATTACACCAAGTAACTGCCATGGTTAGCTCAGGACAGGTAATAAGAAAATATCCAAATCCACAGCATGGATGTGAATGCCAGCATAGCAGATGTCATCACCACTAGGCAACCCTCCAGGAGATTAATTTGTGATTCTCACTATTCCAATACAGAAATTCTCCTCTTGGCTATTTTGTTATTGGCTTCTTTCCTGATGCAGTCAGTCTCAAACTTATCTGGCAACTCTCTGCCTAGGTATAATCCAGAAACATTTGGGGTTACACTGTGCTCAAGAGCTGCTGAGAGAGACTGCCGAGAGCTCTTCTAACCTGCTCAGGAGATCTTGCTTTTATCTCTAACAAATTTTTCTGGTGGTGACTATTGTGCACACTACATCAGTTTTTTTCTTTTCCAGTGTAGTAGTGCAGGCTCCACAGCAAATCTCAGCAGCAGACCAATGTTACTGAGAGCAATACAGCAGTGCATAAGCAAGCCAGGAAGTTTTGGGAGAGTTTTGGGGACAGCTTCCTGGTGCAAGTGTGGGAGCAACCAAGTAGGGTCCATGCTCTTCTTGACCTCCTGGTCACAAACAGGGAAAAATTGGTCGGGAAAGTAGCAGAGGATAGCAGCTTGGGCAGCAGTGACCACGAGATGATTGAGTTCAGGATTCTGTGGAAAGGAAGGATGGAGAGCAGCAGAGTAAGGACCCTGGACTTCAGAAAAGCAGACTTCAATTCACTCAGGGAACTCATGGGCAGGATCCCCTGGGAGAAAAGAGTCCAGGAGAGCTGGCTGTACTTCAAAGAAGCCTTATTGAGAGTGCAGGAACAAACCATTCCATTGAGCAGGAAGATGAGCAAGTATATCAGAAGACCAGCTTGGCTCAACAGGGAACTCTTCAGTAAATTAAGTCACAAAAATAAAGCTTATAACAAGTGGAAACTTGGAAAAATAAATAGGAAGGAGTATAAGAGTATTGCTCAGGCATATAGGGATGATGTCAGGAAAGACAAAGTGCAATTGGAGTTGCAGCTGGCAAAGGACATGAAGGGTAACAAGAAGGGTTTCTATAAGTATGTCGGTAGCAAGAGGAGGATCAAGGAAAGTGTGGGTCCCTTACTGAATGAGGGAGGCAACTTTGTGACAGAGGACGCAGAAAAGGCTCAAGTGCTAAGTGCCTTCGTGGCCTCAGTTTTCACAGGCAAGGTCAGTGTTGGCTGATGAGGATGCAGGAGTTGGCTGATGAGGTTGCAGATCCATTAACCATCATTCTTGAGAACTCATGGCGATCAGGAGAGACCCTGGACGATTGAAAAAGGAAAACCATAGTGCCCATATTTAAGAAAGGGAAGAAGGAAGATCCAGGGAACTACAGACCAGTCAGCCTCACCTCAGTCCTTGGAAAAATCATGGAGCAGATCCTCAAGGAATCTATTTCTAAGCACTTGGAGGAGAAGAAGGTGATTAGGAACAGTCAGCATGGATTCACCAAGGGCAAGTCATGCCTGACCAACCTGATTGCCTTCTATGATGAGGTGACTGGCTCTATGGAGGTGGGAAGACCAGTGGATGTGATATACCTTGATTTTTAGCAAGGCTTTTGATATGGTCTCCCACAACATTCTTGCAGGCAAGCTAAGGAAGTACAGGCTGGATGAATGGACTGTAAGGTGGATAGAAAACTGGCTGAAGCATCAGGCTCAGATGGTAGTATCAATGGCTTGATGTTTAGCTGGCAGCCAGTATCAAGTGGAGTACCCTAGGAGTTGGTCCTAGTGCTGATTTTGTTCAGTATCTTCATCAATGACTTGGAAGATATCATAGAGTGCACCCTCAGCAAGTTTGCAGATGACACACCAAGCTGGGGGGTGTGGTATATGTGCTGAAGGATAGGGCTAGGATTCAGGGTGACCTAGACAAATTGGAGGACTGGGCCAAAATAAATCTCATGAGGTTCAACAAGGACAAGTGCAAAGTGCTTCACTTAAAACGGACCGATCCCCTGCACCAGTCCAGGCAAGGGGCTGACTGGCTGGGCAGCAGCTCTGCAGAAAAGGACCTGGGGTTACAGTGGACAATAAGCTAAATCTGAGCCAACAGTGTGCCCTTGTTGCAAAGAAGGCTAATGGAATACTGG